TTTTCTCTATATTTTTATTTTGTGCATCGACCTAATCTTTCTAAATGTCATTCTATACCATCAATTTCTTGCTATAAAAGCATGATTCTCATAATCAAATTATATTAGTGATCCCTAATATTTATCTTTTACATTTTTATAACTGAAATGTGTAATGACTCATATTATGCCCGCCATTTATCGTAACCCCATAAGAAATGTTAATTCTAAGTTCAATGGAAAATTGGCATTGCGATACGGGAAGAAGGTATGCGACATAAGCAAGCATCAATTCCTCATCTGCTGCAATGTATTTTTTGTACTTCCTGTCTTTTGGATATGTGGGTGTTATTCTTATAGTTGGGCATTTTCGTGGATCAAGGGAATTTTACTTGATCTAATAATCTTTGAGGACATACCCAGTTAGCTGCTCAGCCAGTTTTCTAATCTTGGACGCACTTGAATGTTCGTCGAACTGAAAAACGAATAAGAACCAAAAAGTACGATGAACTCCAATTAATTTATATAGATACTTTATGTGAGGTGGATCGCTTAAATCCATTTGGCACATGAGTATTTGTTTTGAGCACTTTAAAATGATTGTGTTAGTTGAAGTGTATTATGGACCATAGTTTAAATCCAACCATTGAATTTAATCTTTTGATCAATTACCATACTAATCATGTCTCTTTCATGATATAATATTTGAATTTGAATTCAAATGGTTCGTTGGCTCTATAATTACAAGATTCGTTCACTTTTTTCACTTGGACTTGACATAACAAAAGAGAGAAAGCATAAAAAGGTAACCAAGTAGGAGAAGTTCATATCTTCGATGAAATTCTTGATGGCTTCTGGCGGAACCAGGTAGGAGAAGTTCATAGCTCCGGTGAAATTCTTGGTGGCTTCCGGCGGATTCATTTCTCGGTATATTCATTGTCATTTCCGTTGACGACAGTGCATGATCCGCTGTGACAAAAATTTGAGTTCAACGTCATATGTCACTCTATTAGTGGTGTTGAAGCAGCTTTTGGTCTATTGGTTCGATTTTACACTTTGAAAGTTTATGTTTCCTCATTGTAGTTGTAATAATCATTTCTTCACTACATTTTTAAACTCTACAAATGGTATCAGAGCTTAGGTCAGTGGTATAAAATGTTAAAACAACATGAAAATTGGATTGGAAGTCAAAGGGGTTCGAGTTTGGTCGAAAACTAGTAAACCCGAATCTTTAAACCCATTTTTTGGCAAAACCACGCACGTGGCGGACGAACGACGACCACCACCAGACTCCAGACGACAAGCAGAAGCTGTCGGTGCTGCGTGTGAGACACATGCGTCGACGATGCGTAGAGGACAAATATAGCGCGTGACGATGAATTAGCCGAAGGTGAAAAAAGACAATTTGTTCCTTGAGAAATGTTCGACCTCCTGGTAGTGTTGGATTTTAGTTTGGTGCATTGTGGAAGCGTATATAGCCTCGGGCATAAAGGTGACGTGGAGAAAGCTTTTCCGTTGACAGCTTAGTGGTATTCCCTATGGAGCTGTTGGATAACTTAGAGCAGTTACTGAAGGCTCTAGATTGATAAAGACTCGTATCTCTTCTTAAAATACGAACCAACATATTGGTTTGCTCGGTTTAAGCATTCTAACACCCTTTTGAATTTACAATTGAGATATTGTGTTTGCTATCATATTGTTATTTGACTCTTGTGATATTGTTTACGTGTTATCTATTATGTTATCATCGCTTGTGTCATCTTAAAAAATAATTTATACATTGCATTTGTATGTGGGCAAATTGGTTAAATAAAACTTTTTTGAAAAATATTATTTTTCTACCATGCTCTCGAGTTGGAATTGGCTCAATTCAATAGTAAGGGAGATTATTCTATTTGGAAACAAAAAATGAAAGTTATTTTAATCTAACAAAAAGTTTCTAAAACTCTTGACGACTTGGAAAAATATCATGATGCATTAAAAGTTAAACCGGATGAAATTAGTGAGGTAAATGAAATTGCACATAGTTTGATTATATTGCATTTATCTAATGATGTGTTAGGATTAGTTGAATAACATAAGATCGTCAAAGAGTTTTGGGAAGCACTTGACAAGATGTTTGTGAAAAAAATCTCTTCAAAATGAAATACATTTACTTCAAAAACTTTTCAATTTTAAATTGGACCCGGGAAAGGATCTTAAATCCAATTTAGGTGACTTTAAC